CACACACACACACACACACACACACACACACACACACACACACACACACACACACACACACACACTTAAGTACAGTACTTGAGTAAATGTACTTCCCACCTCTTGTCTTAATTTTTCCAAGTCATATTTGGATTTACAGTATATGCTGTATTTATTGACCTTTAGCCTATATCCACTAATTGTTTCAGCCTCTCTCTCGACGCTCTGACACCGTCCTTGATGGGTGTAGGTCGCGAGGTCGGTCGCTCCACCTTTTCTAACAAAGGGTAGTACTACACTCATGTTTCTCTTCAGAGCGTATAAATCTTTCGCCTTTTACTAAAGATTTCCGTGGAGAGGAACACTTTGAGTTCAATCTAATTGTGTGATGCCCTGCCTCGTGCGGGGCTTCCTAAACTTGATTAAAAAAATCGGATTAAAGTCTTATATAAATTTGGTTTCTATTTCAAATCAATAATACAAATCTGTAAAGCAAATACAGGTAGTGGAGTTAAAGTACGCGATTTACCTCTGAATTTGAGTTGAGTAGAAAATAATGTCAAGATTCAAAGGATTTCATGTCATATGTAGCCTATAGTCTATGCTATGGACTATTATAGGCCTACATGTAAATAGAAAATGTTTTACAAGAACAAAATGTAAAGTTAAATATTGTACAATAAAATACCGTTTATTACGGAGATAATTGTATTGTATTTATTTACAAAGTAGCATACAGAAGTATCACAAAATTGTACTTAAGTAGGCCTACAGTAAATCCAATAATTTACCTCCCACCTCCACTGTCGACGCGCTTGCGCAATACTATTGTTATTTTTCACACAGAAAGAAAGCCCCACGCGAGACAGGGCATCAACAAATTAGATTGGACTCAAAGTGTTCCTCTCCACGGAAATCTTTAGTAAAAGGCGAAAGATTTATGCGCTCTGAAGAGAAATATGGGCTCAGAACAGTCTCATAATACACACATGCACACAGAAGGATTCACACTTGTATTTCATGATCCGCAAAAGGATTCACACTTGTATTTCCGGATCCACACTTGTGTTTGTCAATGCACACACAAATGTGTTCCGTTTCATATACATGTAAATAAAATCCAAATACAGAAAAAAGTTTTACATATGTATTTTTGATCCTCACATATTTGTTTTCCGTTTAAAACCGCTGCACCTGCAAACACAAACCGCTTTCTGTGCATGGATCGCTCTGCATTCGTGTGTGGGTTTTTTGAGACTCCCCTGACGGTGACCCGATTCGTACTTGTAATTTTTTCTATCTATAGCCAATCAGATGTCTCCTCAATTCTAAGCCAATCACATGAGCGCGCCCCCACAAGGGTAGATTTCTTGCGTTCATGACGTAGCGCTTCATGTACGCATTTTGCGCTGTCCGGAGCTGACAGGTCCATGGAGCCTGCCTGCAGGCGCTAATCTCAGGACACCTCCACTCTCAGTACATTGCCACTTTCCGATCAGGAAATGCACGCAAATACAAGCCTTTATATTATTAAGGTACAGTGCCACTTTCCGAACCATTAATGAATGCTTGTGTACACAAAAACGGCAGGCAAAACTGTTTTAAATGTGTGTTTCCTGTATGGCGATCAGCTGCTTTATTTATGTCTGTATGAAGTTGTTGTGAGTGTGGAGGGAGCAGCTACAGGTTAGTTTAGCCTAATCGATCAGTGCACTACGAAGCCAGTGCTAGACAGTGAACTGTCAACGGGGGGAGCCCCGCCGGTCATTATCGGCCGATATTCACTCTTAATAGTTTGATCGGTGCTCTCTATAAAGGCCGATCAGGAGAGGTGGATCTGATCGATATGGACATAAACGCGAGTGAAGTTTTAGCGAGCTGCATGAGAAACTGACGGGCTGTCAGGAGAGAGGGAGGGAGAGAGGAAAAGAGATGATCCTTACTCCCGTGTTATTATCCGGTCATAGTCCGGTAATTCCCTAACGGAAACGCTGCTACACAATTCTTATTATTATTATTATTGAAACATGACCGGTAAGTTTCAAATTTGTCCGGTAAAATTAAATTCTGTCCGCGGAAACCCAGCTCCGGACTACGCAAAATGCGTATATGAAGTGACATGAACGCAAGAAATCTACCCTCGTGGGGGCGCGCTCATGTGATTGGCTTAGAATTGAGGAGACATCTGATTGGCTATAGATAGAAAAAATTACAAGTACGAATCGGGTGACCGTCAGGGGAGTCTCAAAAAACCCACACACGAATGCAGAGCGATCCATGCACAGAAAGCGGTTTGTGTTTGTAGGTTCAGGGGATTTAAAACGGAAAACAAATATGTGAGGATCAAAAATACATATGTAAAACTTTTTTCTGTATTTGGATTTTATTTACATGTATATGAAACGGAACACATTTGTGTGTGCATTGAAAAACACAAGTGTGGATCCGGAAATACAAGTGTGAATCATTTTGTGGATCATGAAATACAAGTGTGAATCCTTCTGTGTGCATGTGTGTATTATGAGACTGTTCTGAGCCCATAGAGAAACATGAGTGTACTACCCTTATTCACAAAAGGTGGAGAAACCAAGCTCGCTCCTCTCTCCACCCTCTCTCTCCCTCCCCTCGCTTCTCTGTGAGGCAGTAAACAACTTTGTATCTTATTTAACCTAATAAGCATTTTTTTCTATTTATTCATAGATATTTTACTAGTCACTCCCCTGTTAAAATCTGTTTCCTACCTGTTTTATAACTATAATAATTATATAAAGGTGTGCATTGGAAAAATGTGTTCACATAAATGGTGCCCAAACCGTGTGAGAACGACTGAGTATCAGTCAACATCTAAAGTTTAAAACTATAGTGTTTAGATTCTTTACCTAACCTGAACTGTATTGATCTGGGGCAGAAATCCCAGGAGGAAATATCTTTCACTCACTACTTGTATTTTCTTATTACCGACACTAAAATGACAAGACGGGTTTATTTTTAACAAGATTAGGAAGCTCCGCACGAAACAGGGCATCAAAAAATTAGATTGAACTCAAAGTGTTCCTCTCCACGGAAATCTTTAGTAAAAGGCGAAAGATTTATACGCTCTGAAGAGAAACATGAGTGTACTGCCCTCTCACAGAAAAGGTGGAGCGACCGATCTGGCGACCTACACCCATCAGGGACGGTGTCAGAGCGTCGTTAGGCTGAAACAACTAGTGGACATAAGGGTATACATACACGGAGTACATTGATCCCTGCCGTTCATTCCGTATACTTCAAGAGTTTGGTTCCCCCTTGAATCTAGAGAACAAACAAATAATAATAGTCAAATAAATAAGAGTAAATTAATGAGTCTTTGATCAATTAAAGGTGGGGTAGGTAAGTTTGAGAAACCGGCTCGAGATACACTTTTTGTTATATTCCATGGAATGCTCTTAACATCCCGATAGCAATGAATATCTTAAATGCTTTGACAACAAATCCATAAAAAAATGTAATCTGTGGAAGCCGTAATACTGTAAAAAGTACGAACAATCATTTTAGCCGGCCCGGCTAAAATAACTGGATGGCCTACCTGTGGGAAGTGGCAGATTTTTTCAGGTTGTGTATTTTCAAATTCTAGCGCACTCGAGCTGGTTTCTCCTAAATTACCTACCCCACCTTTAATCAAAACATGGTTTATTGCGTGGATGTGAGACTTCTATTAATCACTGTTATTATATTTAGTGATACCAAGGTGACAGGAAGAGTTTATTTTTCACAAGATTAGGAAGCCCCGCACGAGGCAGGGCATCAAAAAATTAATTCGAACTCATAGTATTCCTCTCCACGGAAATCTTTAGTAAAAGGCGAAAGATTTATGCGCTCTGAAGAGAAACATGAGTGTACTAATGGAGAATGGAAAGGGTAGAGAATGCCTTTTTCTGGTATACAACGTACAGTGATGGTGCAAGGAGCCCATACTGCTTAATGTTCCGTAATATTATTATAGAAAACCTTTTTTACTGAAGTAAGGTGATTGAAGATAAACAATTTCGTCTTTAGAAATCTAAGCAATATATGTTTTAAACATTTTAAATGTTGCGCGCAGTGCATGATGGGTAGCAGTATCTTGATCCCTGTCGTTTATTCCGTACTTGAAGAGTTAACTTTGGTTACCCCTTGAATTTAGAGAAACTAAAAATAATAATTGTCATAACAGTAAGAGTAAAGTAATGAGTACATTTAAAAAGGAATTATAGCTCAAACTCACAAAGGTATACAATATTATGTCCTGAAAACTAGATGCATGCGCTGTACGCTCTGAGAATCAAAACGAGAGAATTACCTCCTGCTACTTCCGTCTTCACATTACAAGTAGTTGTTGTCTCTGTGAATGTGAAGTTTTCTTATATATCCCCGTCAAAATCAATATTAAAAAACTGCCTACATATCATTATAGTAGTTAAAACAGATCTCGACATGTGTACGCCATTAACACAGCCTTTGGTTTTAACAATCAAACAGACATGATCAAATTATGTATGAAGATTTCGTCTCCATACACTTCTGTTAAACTAAGTAATGTAGCTGAACATACTATTTTTTCCCCCTTTACATTCATTTTTCTACTTCGTCTAATTTGATCTTTCCAGGCGTCTATTAAGTTTAAAGAAAAATCACTATGTTAGTAACTTATCACAGATTCTGGCGAAACCCTGGAAATGGGGATCACAAGAACTAATCACTTTACAATACTTACCCCGATTATCTTTATTGGATTGATGATTTTGACTTACATGGAATTCTTGACCTGCAATCACATAGCAAGCCTATTGTCGTTAGTATACTTATAAACATTTGGGTCTATATTCTCTCTAGACGGCAAACTGTGGGTGCCTTACAGTTCATTTATTCATTTATTGCTGTTACCAATACTTGGACGTTTTAGGATCCAAAATTCCATTGTAGACTTCCCTAATTAATTACACATGTCAGTGGAATCAGGTTAAAGAATTACAACAAACAGATGTCACGGCAAAGCAGAGTTTAGTTGACTTTTTAACATAGATGAGGTTTATTTGTGGTAATGTCACATTCTTCGTATAATCAGAAAAATTAGAAAAGTGAACACTGTTACCAGCATAATTTCCAAATGACACAGATAAAATATATCACAATCAGAATGTTAGAAGTACAACAGACAAATGGCAGTTTTGTGCAAAAAATCATCAATACTGTATGTATCCGAAAATTCAGTTCTCCACGTCATTCTGGCAGGCTATTCTGAGGAAATGTAAAGAACCAGTAACACATAAATCAGCTCTGAAGTGATTTCCATGCAGTTTCTATAGCACTTTAAAAACATTAATGCAACTTTATTTCATGTTATTCATCTTGTTATAACATTAGAAATCAGAACTGTAGCTCTGTGGTAAACCCACCCTCCTCCTGCTTTGAATTAAGCTGATATTACTGACAAATTAGCTAGCAGTAATGGAATTCAACTTTTACCCTAGTCCAAAATAATGATTTAAAAACAGTTTGAGAGAGGGCACCCTATCTTTGGCGCATACCACGAAACGTAGTCACCTTGGTTCTTCGACATCCAAAAGGATTGATTGGTTCTACTTTATGTTTTGGTCATCTGTTCAAATATAAATATAGGTCATTATTGTAATGTAAAAAATAAGGCAGGTTTATTTCATGTTCCCAGTGGGATTTGTCAGTCTATTGTGCATTTTCTTCACATTCCACATATTGTGTAGTGGTTCATATTCTCTCACACAAGGCTGGGCTGCTCAGAGGGATTATAAAACTGACCATTTTAAAAGTGTCTGTGTGCAGCTACACGCAGCTCTCTTCAGTTCATATGGCCTTGACATCGATAAGGTTGCCTTGTTGGTTCCCTTGCCTCAGGGTCTTGATCCCCTGCAGCTTGCGGCCGTGGAGGGTGAAGCGAGACCAGGCTGCCAGCTGGAGCAGGGCACAGGTGATAGGCACGAACACCAACATGTAGAAGCAGCCCAGGCGCACGGGCGGAGTCCCTGAGCCGGAGGCAACGTCAGCCACAGAGACCAGAGAGTCCTTCACGGGGTGCCGATCAAAAATATCATAACCTGGTGAAGAGAAATCCATAATTAAATCACATGATCATTCAAGGTACGAAAAACACAATGAATCAAATCACATATGGAACCATTTCAGAATATATGCCCCTGACACAGCTGTGCAAAAAATGTGTAGAGCAGGATAATTATCCCACTTCTAAAAAGGGCCCTTAGAGTAACACAGATCAAATAATACAATTGGTATTAGTTGGGAGGCTTAAGGAACTCTTATTTTAATAAAACCTTAGGGGGGTTGTGTATTTGTATTGTGTATTTCTATGATCACAAGGAAATCCTGAAGTTGGGTATCTTTGTCCTTTATATTTTCAGCATATGGAACTGGAGAAACCTGTAAATAACTGTCTTTTGCAGCATCAAGACAAAAAAAATGCTTTTTTTGGCATTTCAATTAAACTGGAATGAGCAGTTTAATTGGGTTGTGTAACTAAAGAGTCATGTGGTCATTTTTTACCCGTTAAATAAAGCAATTTGAATAGGTGTAAATAACATTTGTCTTGGGTATAAGTGAAAGAAAACACTGACAGGTTTCATTTTACACTAAGGCTTATCAAGCATAGTCTTAAAAAGTTACCACATTCATTGATGCAGACACACATCCGCTTGGAATTCTAGAAATCTGCAGTGTCACTGAGCTACAATCTGCCAGAAAGACACATGAACACAGCCGCTTATTTACACTTCCTTGTGAGGAGTGTTTTACGTCAGTACCTGTGTAAACACACAGCAGCCAGGTGCCGATGAGAGGGGCAAACGTCTGGCCAGGTTTGGTCAAAAGGGCGACCATCCCGAAGAGGAGAGCAGAGGTGGCCTGCTGACGTTTATTCACCACAAAGTCCTCGTCCACCAGATCGGAGATAACCAGTTTCAGCAGCTTGCATGTTCCTTCTGTAAACACCCGGTTACTACAAGGGAGAGAAGGTTCTAGTTACAGGCTCCAGCACCAACAGTAAAGTAGTTTGTGAAAAACAAAGATCAAGAGTATATTGTTCAGTTCTTTGTTAGAACATTTCCATAAATTGAAGTGTGTCAATCATCTTTCCTGATGTCTATTTGTCCAGTCTTAAAGAATGGGAATGGTTACAGTTTCTATGTATGCTTAGGTGTGCCTGTTTGACTTTAAACCACATTATATTGTGTGAAATACAAAACAAACTTAATCACTCTGGGCTGATATGTTTGAGAGCGATAACCAAAAGCATTCACACAGTTGACGACAAATCTCACTTATATAAGACTTACAACAGACACTCCAGCAGGGATCGGCTACTGATGATGAAGAAAGCATTTAAATCCTGTTTTTACGTCATGACATTAATGTTGGATTCAAATAGACTTTATTTAACCAATAAACCCTGTTTAACCAATCATTCTGTTCCTCTGAACGCATTGTTGTTATTTCTGTCTACTCTGTGATATAAGACCTACTGTTTGTCTGTCTTAAATAGAAGAATGATCCTTACTCTGTTTCTCTAATTTCTTATTTAAAGAGTAAACTACACCAACATTATTGTTATTTTGAAAAACGTTTTTGTGTGGACTTTTCTCCATTCGAATCAAATATCTATGAATAGAAAGTGTTGTATGTGGTTAGAGATTTTAAAGCCCTTTGAGGTGAGTGACAGAGGCACAAACTGGAGCAAAGTAAACATTTTACCAGGAGGGAAAAATGTCTTGCAGCTAAAAAAAGTTATATTTGGATAAAACATGTACAACATTTTTGAGTTAAGCTAAGGGAATACACTGCGACAGAAAGAGTCCTTGGTGTGTCCCTAAGAATATTGCTGTGTTTGTGTATTCAGATTTGAGAAAAATGAACAAAAACAAGCAAACAAAAGTACAAGCGTTCACACATCGGACCCCGTGATGCTTGTGCTGATGTGTGTGTGCGTTGCCATACCTAGCAATGAAGATGCACAGCAGATAAATGTGGTCAGCCCCAGCCAGCAGCATAGCCACACTAAGTCCCAGTTTGAGCATAAATAGCCAGCGGATAACCTGGTAAACACCGTAGCGCTGGCACAGTGTCAGGAAATACAAGTTGTTCAGGTGGGGGGCAATGTAAGAGATGCCTGCGTGGGGGGTAAAAGCAGAACTGAATTAAACAAAAACAAATCAGCGGGAAAAAAAAGCAATTGTAACATAAAGAAGTCGGGTAGCAAATAATATTGAAATGGAAATATATCTCCAATAAGATCTGTTTCTTGCATTTTTTGTAATACATCACTGGTTTTCTGAAATATCCCTCATCTTTAATGATGATTTTGGGCCAGATTGGATCAAATGACCATGATGCATTCATGTAAGAAACTCAAATGGGTTTGCAATATAAAAAAGCTTGTATGCAACTAGCTTGCATCATGACAGTAATGGTAAACATTCTAAATGTGTTTCTCATTTATAATATAAAATAAAGAAAATCACTCTTAGATTCAACAGTTTGTGATTCCCTATAGTGTTAAGCCTTTACAATGCTGCCATAATATATGCGGTATTTATTTGAGTCTGTACTCCCTAGCTGTAGCACTACCAGTCATGATTTCAAAGACCTGAATGTTTTATTTGTTGTCTCTTACCAAGTAAGATAGAACCTGTGGAGGCAGAAATATTGTCAGACAGGAGGTGCTCCAAGAAAAGAGGAAAGAAGTTGCTGTTGAAGTGGCAGTGAAACACCTGCAGGGGGAGCAGAGACAACAGAGAATGGTAAGTAAATACAACAAAAATCAGCTACTGTATCACATGAGAGCGTTCTAAAAGTAGTCACAGTTTAGTCTTCTAAGTTAAAGACAAATAAACACACCATTAAGCTTTTACTGTTTAGAGGCTCAGTGATAATCCAGATTTTTCATTTCTCAAAGGGTCAGAAGAGTTTTTAGCACATGTTGTAGTTGTTTGTTATGTATATCTCACCTGAACAAGGTTCATAGAAACAAACCACATGAAGTTCTTGTGCTTGGAGAGCTGCTTGAGGTACTGTCCAATGGTGACGGGTTTTTCTGGGTTGGTAAGTGGAGCGTTGCCAACATTCAGCCTGGGGCAAAAAGAGTTAAGTGAGACGCAGAGGAAAAATAAACACCACAGCTCAAAAACACGTCAACCAGAGTTAAATTACAAACCCTTACTCTTTAAGTGCCAGGGCTTCGTCCTGTCTTAGACGGACTTCCTTTTGGAAACGATGCTGCAGTAATCGAGACACAAAGAAAAATCCCAGAATGGAAAAAGCTGCGAGAGCCACGCAGAAGAGACGGAAGGAGTAGAAATCCTCTTTGTCCCAGAAGGAGTAGGACAGAAAAACGGAGAATGAGCCGAGGGCGCTGAACACGGAGCAGTGGAAGTTGAGGCGCGTACGGTCGCTGTTGGACACGGCGAGGTCGGCCAGCAGGGCGCTGTGGTGGAGGTCCACCATGGAGAGGAAGCCGTCGTACAGACACAGGCACAGCAGGAACTGCAGGCCGGGTCGGGCCCACGCCACCCAGAAGGCCAGGAAGGACAGAGCGAAGAGCGGGCCATTGGTGGAGAGGGCCTTCACGCGCTTCAGCACCACCTCTGGATTTGATATCTGAGAGCCGGACCTGGGTGGAAAAACATGAACACATGAACTGACTTGTTATACTCTGAAACCTTTCTGGTGAAGCCATTCAGAAATACAAAGATCAAACTAAAAATAACTGTTGTTGATGACTGTGTAAATGCTCACATTTAAAGATGATACAAATCAAAGAGAACACTTGTGTATGTGTAAACATTTCCACAGTATAATGTTATTATAACGTCACAAGTTACGACAGTACAGCGACGCATATGGTTTAATCTCAATAAAGAGCAATCACAGACGGAAGCTTAATGTTTGACAATGCTCGCTCTGACGATGTGTTTACCTAGCCTTTTAAACACGACTGCAGCTGATAAAAGAGGTTACTCTGAAAGAATAGGGTGTGCATGAATCATAGCTAAGGGACAATGTGTGCGAGAACCTCAAAATGTAGTAACTGGAGGGATAGAAGGGTGATGGGATGTCAGAATCAAAGAGATCATTTCGTAATTGTACAATCCATGTCTATATATTCTAGGGAAATGTCACTATTGAGTTTCAAAAGATACCATTTAGCTAATATATTACACTATGTTGACGTTGGTAAAGCTTTTAGTCATCAGTATCTCTTTGAGTTCTCCGCTGAGGTTGTTGATACACATCACTGAAACTATGTAATGTTGATACAAGTCAACAGTTACTTGCTTCTCTTCAGAGACAAAAATAGACTGTAGCTTTAAATGAGTCTTTAAGAATGATGAAGTTTAACAGGAAACCTCAGATCTAACATATTTATTGCTTGTATATGTTGCATATCTTGAGAGGCTAAATCACATGTCATTGCATTTTCTCAATGGAGCTGACGTGTGGGTAATCTACTTTATCTTGAATATAAAAAATAAATGTTTTGGTAGCTTGTCTGTAGTCATGTGAGGAAGTCTAATTGTGTAAATTGTTGTAGGTAGGAGTATTTTTTTTCTATTTTTTTAATTAAACATTATTTATCCTAGAAAGAAAGCTGGATACTTACTGAGGAGAGTTGAGGAAGGCACGATCACTCAGCCAGCCGAAGAGAGGGTCATTCAGACTGTTCCATATGAGGAACACCGTCTGTGGAGCAGCAGAGAGAAGGAGTGATCGTTTATAAAAAAATCATCAAATAAAACACAAGGATGGTTTATTTATCAATTAAAGCATGAGATAAAGCTTCTGGGAATTAGAAGAAGTCCCATGGGAGGACTGTGGATCTTAATTAAAACACATTAATTACAGACTTCTGTTGCCATTTTAATAATTGTGTTATTATAATCAGGCAATTTTATTTCAACCTTTTATTAGAAAAATATTAAAGCAGAAATTGTACTTAATATTCTACTTTCAATCAGATATCAAGAACCGACCAATTAGGTTTTGTTATCGGAAATAAATGTGAAAAAAAATAATCCTGACCTTAAGTTTTCCGTTGATAAACAAATATCATACGATATCTTGAAAAAGATTCTGGTTACCCTGCCTTTCCGTGTCTCATTACATGTTCCTTATCCAGATGGTTATAAAAGATAAAGAACTGCATACGAACATGATAGCTACCAAACTGGTTAGCAGGACTCCCATACAGCCATAGAAATCACCGCTGTTGTACGGCAACGGCAAACTAGTGTTTCATTTTGAGCCTGGGCTACAGGTCAAAATCTAATTTGGATCATGGTTAAGTAATGTTCTTTTGATATGTATATGTGGATCTCTCTGCATCTCTACATCATTGCAAATGAGATTTCCTAGGCTTATATAAAAGTTTAAATGAATGCAATGAACACCTGACACAGTAACAGGTTACTTGTCACCAGAGTTGGGTGTAACGCGTTACTGTAATAATATTACTTTTGTCGGTAACGGAGTAGTGTAACGCGTTACTTTTATAATTCAGTAATCACACTACAGTTACTAACATTGCCCCGACACGCGTTACTTCGTTACTTTTATAAAATCAGTCATAATCACCCTGACAGACAAGAGGGGTTTCCGCCGCAGGTTTATATGTACGTAATCTGCGCGATTTGCGCGTCCACATCTCCACGTGCAGTGCTGCATAAACATGGCTGAGTCAGCGATAACTTTCGAGGGGTGGAGCTATGCCCATTATTTTGAGTTCGTCCGAAGAATAGACAGGAATGTGACGGTGAGGTGCAAACTGTGTCCAGGCCAGAAGCTGTTATACACTGCTGCAAACACCACGTCAAACCTCAACAAACACCTGCAAAGAACACATGCTAAGGTGAAGCTAATAGCTAAGGACCGGACCCCCGAACCCAGAGTGAGGATGTTGTGAGTGCGCCGCCTCCGACTCCGAAGCGCCACAAATTAGAATTTGGAGGACCGGTAACCAAAGCAGAGATGGACAGGCTTGGAGCATCCTTCATAGTAGAGGTAATGTTGCCCATTTGCACAGTGGAATCACCATCGCATCGTTCAGAGATATACTGCGCAAAATACAGATAGCAGGAGACAGAGGACAGCCATAGTCAGAGCTATCTGGATCAGTCTTATGCGACAATGGAAACTGAACTAAAGAGAACATTTGAAACTTTAGCAGTCTGCGTGATCTGCCTGTAGGGAGGGGCTGGCCGGCCCTGCGAGTAAAGTAACGAGTAAAGTAACGAGTAAAGTAACGAGTAAAGTAACGAGTAAAGTAACGAGTAAAGTAACGAGTAAAGTAACGAGTTACTTTATGTAGAGAGTAACGAAGTAGTGTAATATATTACTTTTTTTTAAAAGTAATATGTAATATGTAATATATTACTTTTTTTTAGTAACGACCCCATCTCTGCTTGTCACTCACCTCTCCCACCCAGAAGGAGACTTTATCGATCTTGTAGATGGACACGAAAGTCTCCACGTAGTAAAGCAGGAACACATTGTGCAGGATGGAGGTGAACAAGGCCAAAGAGCCGTAGAGCACTGCAGTAGAGACACCGCTTTGCCAGCAGCCCCATGCTCTCCGGCCCATTCTTCTTTCTCAATCACTCTGCTGCCTTTTCTCTTTGTGCCACGCTGCAAACATCTCAGGGCCTGGCCGACCCCGGGTCACCACCTCATGGTCGCCTGCAAACATACAGAGCAAGAGGATAAATGGTTATTTTCAGTTCAGTAGACAAACGGTAAAAGACATTATTCTCTCCCCCTTAAGCAAAAAGACTTGATTTGAATGTTAGCACTACATTTTAATACGCCAAACACATTTCTGAACCTTATTGGAAGTTACAGCATTGTCTCTAATATTGAAATGTCTCAGTCTCAGCAAAGATTCTGTGCAGACCAAAAGGAAGTTATTTTCATAGCAATGCTGCAGTAGGTAGTCGTTAAAGTTAGTTAGGCCACGGTTCGTTTCTGCTTTGGCCCCCGCCTTTCTGTGGTGAGCTGTGTAAAACTATAATTTTTCTCAGCTCTTTGTATGACCACTCCCCTGACTTTCCTCCACCTCACCAAAAAGCTGGGCGTCTTAACTGTGAGACTATAAAAGGAAAGTCATATGATCCTCAGGCTTTCTATTCAGGCGACGTGCTTTCACTGGGCTTTATTTTCCATGGGTGTCACATTCATAATTGCATTCTGTCGAGGGATGAATCATTTTTAGAAATTGCTGTTCAGTGTGATTTTGAGGGGATCTGCACCAAGCTGAAATGTTTCTTTGAAGAAGACTGTTGAATTATAATGTGAAGTGGAAAACATCTCTGCAGCACCACAATGTTAGTATTACATGTTTTTGACACAATTCACCTTTAAAGAGTTTGTCATTCTTGATTAGAAAATTGCAGGAGGCTTTATTGTAATTTGGATAGAATTTCAATAAATGATGCAGCCTAATTCTGATAGTGCTTTGAACATTCACGACAATAAATGTAACTCCCCGTAAAAGATAAGTTCATAATATTTGATTGCTTTAAAGACAAAGAAACGATATGGCATTAAAAGCACCCAATGTTGTCTCCATGTCACATCTCCTTGTGAATGACTGTCTTTTCTCACACAAGCCAAGGATACCGAGTTCCCAACAATGAATGTAAATCCTGCTTTCAGTTTGCATAGCCGTAGACGATGCGACACTTTCCTTTCGAAGCTCCTGGTGCAGTCTCACACGTAGCACCCTTGGGAGAAAAATTCCCTTCAACAGGCTTCTTACTTCACACCTGACTCCCACATGCTCCGACTTGCCCTGATCTACAAACATGCTCTCACAGCTTGAGTCGGGGAAGCCATATAATAGCTAACAATAACAGTGTCTCAAGGCAATGTGACTCTTTCTATTAGCTTCAACCACAAAGCATCAAAGAAAACCTTTATACGGCAGGGAGATAGCAACCTTAGCCCAAGCAACCTCCTTTGGAGTGCAATAAAAAGCTTTCCAACCCTGTTCCTATCAGATCCAAGCAGTAGAGCGGCTGCATTATATCGCATCTCTCACACATGGTCTATCTTACTAAGATTAGAGGTAATCTACCCTGTGGATATACAAATATCCACCTCATGTCCATAAGCCACAGCACATCCAGGAGCTGCTTCCACCTGTGGACGTTTATGGCAGAGTGATCAACCTGTTGTAGCTATTCACTCGGATAGCCAAAAGGTGTGATGACCAAACACAGTGCCTGAGCTGCTGATCTCAAGATTGATTTCTAGAACACTAGAAAAAGGGGGCATCTTATTCATGAGATTTTTGCACATGGCTATATTAACAATGCAAGCCTTAGTGTGAATTCTGACTACCTGCTTGAATATTATTTGTTTGTATGGGTGTTCACAGTCTTTTTCATCCTTCTTTTCTTTTTGCATATATGATACTGAAATGAAAGTCAGTTTCACTTCCTTATTCCGTATGCAAAGTCTGGATATGTCTCATTTAGAGTCAGATTTTTTAATAAATGGTGTATTGATTAATTCGTCTATGAGTGTCACTATTGCACCTACAATTTTTTTAACATATTTCTAGTTAAACTAAACAATATAACGTCACCACTGATCATGAATTAAATAGTGCTTGAATCAACCAGCCATCCTAATTATTGATATTCTTAATATAAGATACAGTATAATAATCATGTATCCACTATCCGTTATGTTTACTTCCAGCTAGTAAGCAAGCTATCGTAATTTAATAAGCTTCGACTATTGTTTCTGTCTGAGTCTGAACCGGTTCATATTCGATCACAAAGCTTCAACTAACAACCCACATGTTGTGTAGTCTGCTGTGCCTGATAGTAGTAGCTGGTAGGATCGATAAATATGTCTAATGATACAAATATGTATAATACTAGTCTATTATTGGGTTGCAGAGCGTTGCAAACTCAGCTACTGCTAATGGTTAGCACTAGCTAGTCTTATTTAAAGGCTAGTATTAGTTAGCTGGTTAACGTTGAAAGGCTGCCTATCTGGAGATAAACACATTCACAATTAGCTTCAAGTTATTTCTATATCACGGTAGTATAGAAATGTTACGTACCGACAAAAAGGCTGTTAACCAGACCGAATAAAGGGTCTGTTTCTCGGTGGGAAGCGGACTTGTTGGCACAGGCTCTTCCGCTCGTCAGAGCAGCTGTGTCTCGGTGGAGGCGGACAGACAGACTGCGTCACGACATCTACAGTCGGCTACTCACGTCCGACGGTCGTAGTGGATGATGTGTAAGCGTGGGTTTCCCGGTAGACAAACAGATAAGACTTTAGCGACACCCAGTGCCAATTTCACTAGCACCAGCTCCCCCCCAGCCTATTCATAAGTGAGTACAACAAGCTCTACCATGAAGAGCTGCTTGACCTGCAGGGTAGTTTCCATTTGCCACATTGTTAGCCTACCACTGAATCTCAGAAGAAAACATTGGTATTTTAATTCAGCTATACTAATAATAATAATCATCATCTTTATTTGTATAGCACCTTTCATACAATAAGTGCAGTTCAAAGTGCAAAAGACATATCAGAACATTGATATCATATAAAATACAGTAACCACCAGTAAAAGACATAAAAACAAACTAAAAATAGCGTAGAGTTGACATATAAAAATTACATAGATTAGAGGTTACATTTGTATTTTATTTTTTAATTTATCTTAATTACTACAGATGAATACTCAAATACTTAATCAACAAATAAATGATGAATACCCAGCTAAATAATCCGTTTTACGGCAAAAAAGTAATCTAAACATTAATGCATAGCTTTTTCATTTAAATTGTAATGACACAAATACATAATATAATAAACATCCATTATTCTCAAAGGACCATTGGTCATTCTGAGTACTGTAGTTGTGTAGAACCAAAATAAATACGTTTATTTATTACACTTAAGTAAAATAAGTTACTTTTTAAAGGGAACATTGTAAGACAAATGATCAGTCTTTTTTGCATTGATATGATATTCAAGGAATGACATACGTTTTTATGTAATGTCTGATTTGCTAAGACTTTAAATTGCCTATTAGTAAAATACCAAACTACTAAGAGCTGATTAGTGTCACACTGCCATCACTAGCCAGCATCACCAGAGCCAAATGGAGTAACCACAAATATATTATTCCAGACAGCGTCTCTGTTCCTCTTTAGAAGCAGTGTTTACACAGTTCAAACAACGACACCATGGCAGACGACCAGGCCTCGCAATCCTGGACCATCGACAGGGATGACTACGAACTCAATGAGGTGATAGGGAGCGGGGCCGCTGCAGTCGTCCAGGCAGCATAGCCTACTGCAAGAGAAAGGAAACGCATCAACCTGGGGAAGTGTCAAACCAGCATGAATGAGCTCCTGAAAGAGATCCAGGCCATGAGCCAGTGCCACCACCCGAACATTGTGTCTTATTATAGCTCCTTCGTGGTGAAGAATGAGCTGTGGCTGGTGATGAAGCTGCTCAGTGGAGGCTCAGTGTTGGACATCATCAAGCATATCATATCTTGCAGCGAGCACAAGACCGGAGTGTTGGATGAGGCTAGCATCGCCACTATCCTGAAAGAAGTCTTGGAGGGGCTGGAGTACCTTCACAAAAACAGGCAGATTCACCGGGATCTAAAAGCTGGAAACATTCTTCATGGTGACAAAGGCTCTGTTAAAATTGCTGACTTTGGTGTGAGTGCCTTTCTGGCAGCTGGAGGAGACATGACCAGGAACAAGGTCCGGAAGACGTTTGTGGGGACGCCGTGCTGGATGGCCCCCGAGGTCATGGAGCTGGTCCGCGGCTACGACTTCAAAGCCGACATCTGGAGTTTCGGGATAACAGCCATCGAACTGGCCACTGGGGCTGCACCATATCACCAATACCCACCAATGAAGGTGCTGATGCTGACTCTGCAGAACGACCAGTGGCGTAACTATCGACGGTGCAGCCGTTGCAACATGGGCCCCAGAAAAAAAAGGGGTTTTAAATGTTTGGGGCCCCAGTGGCATTGACCGGTTCATGCAGTCTTCAAAGTAACCAAGCAACCTAAATTAATTTGTAATTTGTCTGTCCAATGACCTTGCTCCCTTTCATGTCATGTGATACCTTGCGTGACGAGCGAACCGTTTAATCAAGCTGTACTGTACTGTAGCTAGCAGCAGCAAGTTTGGCAGCATTATAAAAAATGTAATAGCTTGCATTTATAATGTACAGCAAACCAAAGCACAAGAGCGGCGCTCAAAAGAGAAAGGACAAGAGATAACAAGGAGATGTAACAGCTAAACTGACGCATTTTTTTTGTCATACATCGTCCTCGAAATCGAGCGCTAACGTTAGCAATGTTGACGTGCAGCGGCAGCCGGAGGCTAACGATAGCTCACCTGCCTCACCACCATCATTGCCATCTAGCTCCACAAATGAAGCTGTATCCGTGGCCGTGGCTGTGCGACCTTCTTCTCCAGCCAGCCAGGAGGAGAGGCTGGATTTGGCTGTGCCCGGCGGTGGTCCAACAGTTCCCCCAAGGGCCCCAACCGATAGGGGACTCTATGGCGCTATTGAGACCCCCGACGCCAAGATCAATATTTGCACCGGGGCCGATCACAACCTTGTTATGCCACTGAGAACGACCCTCCGTGTCTGGAGACGGGCATCACAGACAAGGAAATGGTGAAAAAGTATGGCAAGTCCTTCCGGAAGATGCTCTCTCTGTGTTTACAGAAAGATCCAGAAAAAAGGCCAACTGCAGCCGAGCTGCTGAAGCATAAATTCTTCACTAAATTCTTCTCAGCTGCACGTGCCCGACTCCACCTGCAGGTGGATCACAGTCTTCATGTCTGACAGGAAGCAGCACCTGAGGCTGGGGAAACACGTCTCTGACCCCCGGACCATCAGCACTGGTTCCCCTCAAGGCCGCGTTCTTTCCCCTCTGCTCTTCTCCCTGTACACCAACAGCTGCACCTCCAGTCACCAGTCTTTCAAGCTCCTGAAGTTCTCAGACGACACCACGCTCATCGGACTCATCTCTCGTGGGGACGAGTCTGCCTACAGGTGGGAGATGGATCATCTGGTGACCTGGTGCAGGGACAACCACCTGGAGCACAACGCTCTCAAGACAGTGGAGATGGTTGTGGACTTTAGGCCACATTTACACGAGAACGAAACGGCTTGTATCTGCATAGTTTCTCTTGCGTATAGCCCTATTATTTACACGAGGCCGTAACAAACGGACCCCACAAACGATAACGGGTCCCAAGGTGGATAGATTTGCAAACGAAACGCTCTGGGGGGTCAAAGGAGTCTGTGTAATCGCCTCTATACGAATATTTCCTGAAAAAATAACGATAGCCCCACCTCTCCCCGCCTCTGCTGCTCACTGCTGTAGCATGGCCAGTAGCTACTGTCAGTAGCTACTGCTAGTGCTACTGCTACTGACCATGCTACAGATGTTAGTACAACATCTACAGCTCGACCATGCTACAGATGTTAGTGCAAAATCTACAGCTCCTCTACCACAACCATCAGCAACAAGTGGACATGGAGAATTAAATTAACTACTACATGTTGCTAAATCCACCGCGGGGCATAAACAGAAGGGTAGCCATGGCAACATTGCTGCGGGGCTGCTCCGGGGTCTTCTTCGCTGCTTTTGGTGTATTTTGTGGCAGAAGTTACAGCGCCACTTACAGTCCCGGCATATGTACTACAGCGTGTCCAGCACTTTCGAGCGGTCTCGTGTGGAAGTACAGCGCCACTTACAGTCCCGGCATATGTACTACAGCGTTTCCAGCGGTCTCGTTTGAACAGACACGTTAAATGAAACGAATGCATGTGAACGGAAGACTTTTTTGAAAGCGCATACTGTGCATAAACGCAAACGTTCCCGTGTAAAAGCAGCCTTAGTAAGAACGCAGCCCCACCCACCCCCATCACTCTGTGTTGCGGCTTTCACACCAGCGCTTTTCCCTTTCTAGCTCCTAGCGAGAGCTTTTCTGGTTCAGCTCCGGTTTCCCTTTTCAGCTCCCGCTCTGTTCACATCGCCCAGAGCTGCCACTGCTGCGTCATGACGTCACAGTTTACGTCGCTGATTTTCTCCCACAACAACAACGGGCCGGGGACTGCGTCGGGTCGATGATCGTGTTGCTTTTAATCATACGAAGCCAGATTAAATTAAATAACGACTTCTCCAACCTTATACTTTTCTCCAGAGTGCCGTGGTTCATTGTTTATTAATGTGTTTCAGCGGCATTTACCGACCGCTGCAGTGCTGGCTGCTCTTCCACGGGAGTTTATTCTCCCGTTAGCTCCGGGTTAGCTCACACGGCTCTAAAGTATTCACTGTCTGACTGTCACACAAGCAGCTGATACATATCCCCAGTTCCCCTTAAGTGAATGTGTGTCAGTCTGAATTGACGCTGTTTGGCATCACAACGCTGTTATGAAAGTTTCTCTGGTATAACATGGGTGATGTTAGCATAGCAACCGAAGCTAAACTGACTACTTGCTAAGCCGTTTTCTACAGGCACATTTTACCGGCGTATTTTTCATTATGATTCTACTTGTGATAGTCGGACATGACAACCTGTACAGCCCATGTATTAATTCCATCCGATAGCTGCTATAATAACAAACAAAACGTCTGCCTGCTCGCCACAATGATCAATAACAGCGAACGGATGGTCAAAGTAACGTTTCCTGCGCGCCTCGACGTAAGAGACGCCGCGTCATAGCTCCGAAGCTCTTGCCTCTGGACCGACAATTTTTTGGAGCTGGAAGTGAACCGCATTCCGGAGCTATGACGCGCCGCCGCTGCGGTGTGAACAGGAAAAACCAGCGCTTTTCCAGCTCCAGCTCCGAGCAGGAGCTGGAAAAGCGCCGGTGTGAAAGTGACTCCCCAGTAACTGCTGTGGAGTCTTTCCGCTTCCTGGGCACCATCATCGCCCAGGACCTCAAATGGGAGCAGAACATCTGCTCATTGGATTTGCGCAGTTCAGCATCAGTTAAGTCAAGATCAGCCATCAACAGCGGACATAAACTAATGGTATTGCACAGCTGCATTGTAGTAAATTCCAAGAAACCACTTCTACCAAAGAGAGGAGGTGGAGGAAGACGATGATGAGGAGACAGGAGTGCGACACTACTGCAGGATGCATGAGGACCACATTGAGAAGGGGCTAAGTTCATTACAGGAATCACACTTGAAACGTTTACAGTGCGCGTATACAGTGAAGGGGAGAAGAGATGCAATCAAGTATATCAACTCCTAATTTCTTCTTCTTTTTTTTGCTTCATACATAAGCACAATACAAACCATCTCCTGCCAGTACTGAAAAAAAAAGCAAAAAAAAAAAGCTGATTACCTTCTACTGGTTTGGGGTTACTTTAAAAGCCTACTTTTTAAAGTTTCTTAGACATCTTTCATAAATAAATAATCTATATTAGTGCTTATGATAAGCATGGAAGAGGGTAGGGGAAAAAAGACCAATAACTTTCTTTAATGTTATATCTTTTCCATCTCTTCTCCAGCAGGGGTCAGTCACTAGGCACAGATCAGTCTCTCTTCACTGTATATTAACAGACAGTAGCACACATTAGAAAGCCTAAATGCTCAGACAGGGTTAATACAGTTTTCATCTTAAGAAACAATCACATTTAGTAGGCTATTCTTTAAGAATCTTTGTATCAGTTAAACAATTTAGCTTTTTATTTCTATTTGTATTTCCCAGCAAAATAGCTGTCATTATAAAATATTTGGACATTATTTTTAAATCGTTTTGTCAACTAATAAATACATTTTTGTATATATTGAGCCTTTTTTCAACCCCAATTGCCCATGAAACAAACAAACAAATACAAGTTTATCTTATCCTTAAAACATTTTGTAACCTATATCATCATAAAAAAACATATTTTATCATGACACATTTGTAAACCCAACGTTTATGTATCAATACTAACTGTGTGTGTGTGTGTGTGTGTGTGTGTGTGTGTGTGTGTGTGTGTGTGTGTGTGTGTGTGTGTGTGTGTGTGTGTGTGTCGGAGGTGGGGGAGGCTGACAGTGTGTGTGTGCATTGGGTAACTGCAGCAGCAGCAGAGTATAGCAGCAGCTCGGTGTTTCGTCGCGCAGAGGACGACTCGGAGGATATTTGTGGACTCCATGAAACAAAAGCAGGTGAGTCGGTCTCTTACTGCTTTTCTTTTCTTTTTACTGTTCCTTTGTTTAGTATGTTTGTTCTACTTTTCCTGCGCACACGGTCTCTGTATGTATCTGTGCTCAGGTGAAGGTGAGTAAAGAGTGCAGTGCTGTTTTCCCTCTCTGCTGCAGTCCGGGGACAGGTGCACATGGGTGGATGTTTACTGCCGTTGTGTGGGTGTAAATACTTAAATCCTTATGTGTGTAAGTAAGTGAACTGTGGAGTGTTTCTGTGTCACTGGCTATACATTATGACGGTCTCAAAGCTTTTTAATCATATTCGCTGACGGCATTTTTCTTAAAGTCGAAGCTATGAAAGAGAATCATACATATGTTGCTTATAGGTGTAGATGACAAGGTAAAAGCATTATACAAAGATAAATTAGTTAGGTTAGTTTGTTGCTAAAGTTCATTATTTTTATTATCAACATTTTCCACTATCGATTAATCGTCTGACAATTTTTCTTAGGCCTACTAATCGATTGATAGTCTAATCTTTAGAAAGTCAGAAAATACAAAATGTCTATGCAAATTCCTCAACGTCCATGGTGACGTCTTTAAATGTCTTGTTTTGTTATTCCTAAACCAAAAGATATTCCATTTACCATAATATAGAAAGCAGCACAACTCTATTTGACCGACTAAAAACTGCATATTCTCACATTTTGTATGAACAATGTCTGTAACAGTGGTTAAATAAAAAATGTTTGGCGCCATTTTCCCTTAGGTTGACTTATTGTTTTGTAAAAAATGACCCTAATTGTTATCAAAATGGTTTGCAATTATTTTTCTTTCAATCAAGTTATCCTTTGCTCAACTAAACATGGCATCTCTAATGTGAATGACTGGGACAGAGCAGTTACTCTGGTCAGATTCTATAAGTTTATAACCTGTTTGAAAAGCTTTTTTAAATTTTTATTAAAACCTAATAAATTAATTAATAATGCTAAATAGTATCAGATATGACCCATTCATATTCTCATTGGCTGCTGTTGAAAAGTGGTGGAAGAATGATCCAGATTCTTTACTTGAATAAAATGAATGATTTGATTACATATGTGAAATTGTAATTTTTGAGATAAATGTGTTGTACAATATTTCCATCACTGCTGTTGAGTCAGTTATAAAGTTAATAATAAAGGAGTCGAGTAATCAGCTATTTCTGTAGAATGTTAATAGGTCATTAATAAATAGTTTTTAGTAATCCATCAATTCTGTAGTAAATATTAATAGGCTGTGTCTTCATGAATAAATTGTGGTTAAGATGTCCTTCAGGTTTTTTTGTTGCAGAAGGTCAGAGGTCACACAATCTCTTCATGTTGAATTAAAGAGCTATCTCAACAACAGCCACGACCCGAAATCCTTAAACCACCCTAATGCAATTATTATCCATCTTTACATATAAAGAGCACCTTGTTAGAAAGTGGTACAGAAGACTGAAGTGGGCTCAGGAGATAACTGTAGAGAGGAGCAGTGTGTTAGTATATGTTCAAGGCTCAAATTAGATTATATAGTATACTGAGCGTGAAGATATCTATTATTTAAGTAAACTTGTAAAGGAGAAGAACTCCAAGGACAAAGTAAATGTCCCCAATGAGTCATTCATGGTATTCCTCTGTATACATGTCCTGTTGAGTCCCAAAACATCATGATTGGTTCTTACTTTTGAGCATGATGGCATAATGTGCGGGTTTTGTTTATCAAATGAACCCAAACAGAGCAACACATCTTACATCTTTATATTTTCAATGTATGAAAAGGCAGATTATATGTGACACAATGATGATTTCATGCTTTTCTGATAAGATTTGTCGAAAGATCTTCCACATCACGTGTGGCCCACAGGGTGAACCCACTCATTCTTCCTTTAATGTGCGAGTAATCCTATTTATGATTCAGCTGTACGCCAACTCCCAATGGTTTCAGTCAAGGGCAGAAAAAAAAGTGAAAGAAGAAACTGCAATGTTTAAGCATACAGAATTCCCCTTTTCAAAATTATTTTCATTCAGTCTTTTTCAAAAATGTTTTTGGCATTTAAAGGGGCATCAGTTGAAAGGAAATACAGGAATAGCTTGTCTGTTTTATCGATCTTTTTGCAGAAATGTCACACTAGGTGTTTATCAAATAATGCTCATATTGGGAAACAGCTTTATCCTACTCTGCACGCTTTTCCATAATCTGTCATGACTTCACTTTAGGATGTTTAATCAAATGTCCCAGCAGATGGGAAACAAACCCTGCTCATGGATCAATAAACAGGAAGTAACTGATAAGTAAAAGGTGCCTCAGACGTCGCCTGCTGTTTTGTTCGATCCCTTTCGCCTCCCATCATGCATGACATATTGGTTTGTGTCACGTTCAAGGCAGATGTGTTTACCTTCCCCTCCTGACGTGTCCATGCTTTCATCAGTGAAGCAACATCACGTTGGCCTTGACAGCTTCTGTAGTGTACAGTGTTGAAACAATGGAGTGTTGGCTTTGTGTTTTTCACGAGGGCAGCAGCTGACACACCAAAGGGCTTCCCACCAGCACGCCCGCCTGTCTTCGTCATCTGCTGACCTACATTTTGACACAGTTTTGGGAGACTGTGGTTATAAGGACAGCAGTCATCAAACACGCCTGAAGTTGGGTTGTTGCTCTGCCTCAGTGATGCCACTAAAGTACATTTATTGAGCTTAAATTAAAAAAATGTGAGTGTGGAGTTAGAAAAAGTGAGCTTAGCAGACCTCAGTAGCCTGCTCCTCTTCTCTGTTTGAGGTTGGTGGCTTCAGGCTACATTAGCAGCACAAACACACCTGTATCTCTGAACCAACTGTCAGTGGCTGAGTTGCATTGTGGGTAATGTAGGTGCTACATTTTGACAAAGTGAATGTGTGAAATAAAGAAGACCATATATCTGGTTCTGCTGCATAGATTTAGATTGATTTTAAAGGCTATATTGAGTATCATAAGTTGTTCCTTTAGCTGCATCTCAAATTCTTCACGTTTGAATACAATTGCAAATATATAATAACTTTCAGTAAATTAAGTATGTTGGTAAGACTCCTCAGTCAGCTTAGTATATGCTGAGAGAAAGAAAAAACTGCAACTACAGTTCCTTACAAATGTAACTTAGTGTGGGGAAAATCAGGCTTTAAATATATTAAGGTTTTCAGTATGAGTTAGGTGACACAGCACAGCAGTGGTTTTGTGAAGCAAAAGCAGTGGGTAAAGCCAGCTTTAATAAAATAGTTCTGGATGAACGTAAGGTGAGAGGATCCCTGCACCATCACTTACTTTTTTTCTTGTCATCGCTCACTTTGTCATCTTATACGTCAGTTTCGAAGCTTAGCACTCAGACTGCTTACAGAGAGGTCATTAACCTCACTGTTCTTTATACTGCGAGTGATTAGCAGCAGCAGCAGTGGAGATTAAACTGGGAATTCTCCAGTGTCACAATCCAGCGGAGCAGAATTCTCAGTGTTGACCCTTTGACAGACTGGCTCAGTGACAGAGCCAGAGAAGGGGGCAGCCAGGCGGAGATTGTGCTGATGGCACGGGGCCTAATCTCTAGATCATCCGTCATGCTGCTCCAGTGTGCAGCCGGTTAATTAAGAGATGGAGTCGTGTGTTGCAATATCACATTACAGGGGCACATAATTTAACTTCCCCAAACTTTTTAAATGGCCTTTTTATGTAACAGCACCTGACTCATTCACTTTGGCTAATTGGTTGTAATCAGAGAGTGATGGTGCATATCAGCAACTGATTTTCTGCTCGTGCTGTCAAGTAGAAAAGAGAGTTCATACACGGTCATTTTGTTTAGCACAACAGATATTAGGGGAGTATGTCTGTGCATCAAAGGCTTGATAATGTACTCATGGCTTAAAAGTAAAACTTTAACCAGATTTACTTAAAGTACTCTATTTGAGTACAATTTTGGGTTGATTTGACTTCCTCTTCCTACTTTTCTAGTTCTACTTTACAACATTTAAAGGGTAACAATGTTCTTTTAACTGAAGTACATCAATGCATTGCTAAATATACTAAAGAAAGCACTGTCTAGTTGGGTCACATTTTCACCAATTGAGACAATTCCCCGCTCACCTTTAGATATCATTTAATTTAAATATCACTTTTAGACCCAAGGAGACAACCTTTTTTTATTTTTTTATGACCACATTAATCATCCTACGACCCTTTAGATTGACTTTGTGTCTCACTGGAGTGGACCCAACCACTAGGTAGGGAACCACAGGAGAAACTAGCCAGCAGAGTAGCCTATAATGTGTCAGCTGCAACAGTAAAATGCTGCTTTCACATTGTTGCATTAATATAAAAAAATTGTATAATATATCAGTCACAGCGGTTCTTTTTCTAAATAATAAGTACTGAGCAACACTTTGCCGATAATACTAATAGGGTTTCTATTTTTACTTGAAATGGAGTATGTTTACCTTGTTGTATCTGCACTTTTACTTAACTAAAGACCCTCAAGACTTCTTCTACAAGTTTAAATATTACTAATAAGTATAGTATTTCCCCCTATGGTGGTCATCTTTTTCTATAAATGTTTGATTTGTTTTACATTGATGTCAACAACAACAACAGCCTCTGGTTTGGTATTCTGTATCATTTCTCCTTTAGAAATACAATCTTTTTTGTATCTTCCTCAGCTGGAGGATAATCAAAGAGTCTGCGTCTGCTTCCTGCTGGGCGTGAAGATACACATTTCTCCAGTCAGATTGTTTGTCTCGAACAAATTGAGTGCGATCGAAGCTGTGCTTGGATCCGGGTCTGTGTGTTAAACATGGGAGACCAGCAATCAGTCCGGCCCCCCCTGCCTCCATTACTGCTGCTCCTGACGCTCCTCGCCAGGCTGTCTCAGCTCTGGGCCTTCCCCTTCAGCCCGTCCCTAGACCTGGATGTCACTCCAAGGACCACCGTCTTCTCCAAAGGTAAGGGGCAAACACTTCCATTTTCGAACCGTGAGACAAGTAGAGATTTGAGGTAAAAGAGATACATGCATTTACCAAGACCAACCTAGACAGTCAAGAGTTGAGGCTGCTATTATACATGTGAACACAAAGACATGAAACACACATTTTTAGATATACGGTGTGATTTACTGTTTTTTGGATATGACGATTCTTGTTACCCCAGAACTTGGAAAATCATCAGATTTGAAGTCTCCTACAGTATCAAAGTAATTCTGTGATAGTTGTATGTACGTTGAAGGCTATATTGCGATATTAAGCTGCTAATACTTATTTTGGCATATGTTAAATGGTGCCAATTGCCACTTAAATTAACCAAGCTTAACTTGTAGCTTACATATACTACAATACTTTCGGTTTACATCCCCCAAAGCATGATGGGAAATTAACTTGCAAAACATGGCAATCCCCCAGAAGATAGCTAAGACTCGGAATAATAATAGGACTGACAAAGTACATTGTTGTTACAATGAGGAGCAGAGGGGGTAAGACTGTTCTAGATGCATCTTGCCGACACACGTGCACCAGCCTACTGAACACTCACCTCACTGTCCTTATTTGATTCTGCTCCCCCCCCCCTCCTGGTTAAATAAGTGGCACAGTTTTTAGAAGTTGGCCCTGAAGACAGCTCCTTCCTGCTCAGAGTTATTAATCGCCTCTCTCAAGTCCTGTCCTAGATCACACGGCTCAGCAAACACTTCTAATGAAACAATAGACATAAAGCCCTCATAAAAGAAGACCTGAGCACGGTAGACCTGATTGGTGTCCATGCAGAAAATCCTGCTGAGTTGGTGTATTTTGGCACAGAGGGGGGCGTTTACACTCATCATCATCAGCAGCTTCCTCCTTCTACCTTCCCTTCTTTCTCTTGCCACCAGCTCACCTTTCCCCTCCCCACCTTCTTTTTTCTCGCCTCTCATCACTGCGGCAGAGGCTGCAGCTGCAGAGAGAAGGGAACTCCGGCACTGGTAGAATGATGGGACGGCTCTTACCTCCACCCCTCTCCTCTCCTCTCCTCTCCTCCTCACCCCTCTGAGGAGGAGTATTATTAGAGGATGGGTGGAGTGAGCAGGACCTCAGCTCTATTGCCAGCATATAGCTCTCGGGTGCAATGTCATAAGAGCTGATAAGAGTGTTGCAATGTGAGATGATGCTTTGCAGATTGGAGGATTTGCTGCTTGACATTGTGAATCACAATCAACCAGAGAGATGGGAATATAACAGACACTTTTGCTATTCTGTTGTGCCTTTTTTTGTCAAATGCAACCTGATAGGAGTCCTACAGAAATGAATGTATGGGTTTCTGGAGAAAGAGAAAATCGGGTGAATATTCCTCCAAGTTTTGCTTCACAATGAATCGATTTGTTGTGCTGAAGAGAATGTTTTGATTGGTTAGCTGGCCAGCTCTGTTGTGATAGGCTAAGGGGCGGGACATCTCTAACCAATCACGTGCAATGTGTTGAAGCGCTAGCCATTAAAAGCGCGTGTGTTACATAGTGATGTCGCTATGTTACTAAAGCACACAAAGGAGTGCAATGGAGGCGTTTCAGGCAGGGGGGGAGTGTGTGGTAGAGAAACTCCTTCTGGCGTCAACTTGGGATTTAAGCCTTGGCAGACCATTTACATGCACACAAAACAGTCTAGCACACTACAGGAATGTGATAACCCCAAAAAGCACAATAGTGCCCCTTTTTAAAAGCGAGTGTTGTGAAGCAACCAACTGGAGCTGTGAGCTGGTAACTAATATCAGTACTGTTGTTTATAAAAAGGACACGGTTGATTAACTCTGAAACGCTCATTACATTGTACAGCTTCATTCATTAAGCGTTACTAAATAGGTTTTTAAGTGCATCATGGACAGAACTCATTGTGTTCTCCTCCTCCCAACTGTCATGCCCCCTGGCTATTTATTTACACATCTCCGCCTCTTGGACTATAAATCATACATACTCTGTGGGCTCTTTTCTGTGCCGCAGCCAGAGGCACTCTCTCAACGCAGATTTGATTTTTCTCTCTGCCCTCATAGAAAGTTGTCCTTGACCTACTTTCCTATCATCAGGGGAGTGCATGTGAGAGTGCAGGGTGTGCACGTGTGTCAGCAAGTGTTTCGTCAGTCTCCGTCCGTGTGTGTGTGTGTGTGTGTGTGTGTGTGTGTGTGTGTGTGTGTGTGTGTGTGTGTGTGTGTGTGTGTGTGTGTGTGTGTGTGTGTGTGTGTGTGTGTGTGTGTGTGGTGTGTGTGTGTGTGTGTGTGTGTGTGTGTGTGTGTGTGTGTGTGTGTGTGTGTGTGTGTGTGTGTGTGTGTGTGTGTGTGTGTGTGTGTGCGTGCGTGTTTTGGGGCAGGCATGTAGTCACATCATGTAAAGTCTGCAGCCGATGTCACTTTCCCCGTGGTGACACATGTCATTGGGGAGGAGGGGGTTGGAGAGTGGCGAGCTCCACCTCTTAAAGATAAGATGTGTCAGCCTGGATGTGCAGGACTGTATATGGAAATTGGATGGGTGTTGTGGGTGGGTGTCACTACCTATGGGAGACTCTGTGGGAGGATTTATTATATGTTTCTCCGTTGTAGGCTGAGGGGGCGCTCATTAATTTACAGTATGCTTTTCAGATGGTCTGTGTGAGTGGGAGTACAAGGACATGATGCATCAGAGGGAGATTATAAAGAAGGAAAATGACATTATGCACTCTCGTATATGCCTCGGAAAACCCCTTATAGAAGGAATGTGAAGAAAGAAGCCTGCATAGTGTAATAACCTTGTAGAGGTTATATCTCACAGATAAACTGATTTTCAGTAGTGGGGGTTGCAAGTATTTTCATCCATTACGTAAAGCTGCAGTATTCAATATTTTTATATTTGCAATGATTCAAATGGCTATAATGTGAAAGGGGTTGGCGTAGTGATGAGCCAGACCCCGCAGCTCCGCTCAGCTCTATGGTGCGTTTAAGGATCTTTCAGCTCATTGATTTGGTTTTAGGACCTGCAACTCTACTGTTTGGAATCAGTCTCATCCTTCTCATAAACCTAATTTTCAGCCGTAGCAGACAGCTCTTCTCTGCAAAAACAATCTCTGATAAACCCACTTTCACTATCAGCACCAAACAGTATTGACAAATAGTGTGCCAAGCTGGTGAGCATGGTGGACCATTAAAGCTTTAGAGACAGATGTTTGTCTTCGGAGCTGGAACCCAAAACACAAACATAACCAAACATGACCAAAGTAATGCTAATGTTTGCTTAAACGTTACCCAAATCAACTTTATAAGGTGAAAATCTATGGTGAAAAGATGTCATAGAAAAAAAAAATTCTCAACCTATGGTCACGCAAATCAAAAGACAGTGATATTTAATTCAGAGAATTATTTGTTATTTGTAAGAGAGTTTGAGTAGAAACCTGCACTTTAAAATGTAACTGTATTTTGTCTATTGGTGCCTTTTGTGTTGAGTTCAATGCTCACTCTTTTAAATGAAATAATTGTTTTGCACTGAAAGCAGCAGAAGGGCATAACTGAGTACACTTAGTATCTGTTTATTTATCAAAGTAATATCATTTTTGTGACGTTCAACATTATCACATATTGATTTTAGTGCATCTCATTAATGTACTCTCATCATTGTGGCCATTCTGACTGTGGGTTATGCTAACTTCACTCCTCCATTGTAGAAATTCAAACATGAGAAATGTTTGTGAGGCAAGCAGCCTAAAGCTTTCAAAATGAGCAAATGGACACACAGAAATGAGCCCCAATGATAAGCCTCTGTAGAACTAGAGACTAACCATCTGACTAAGTTAGCTAACCTAACAACTAAATGTCAATAGTTACTTTCCACAATGCAAACATATTCTTGGCACGCTCTGTGTCTTTTATGTAGTGTAGTTGTGTGGAAAATGTGTAGGATCTTTCTTAATAACAAAGAGATTAAAAGGTATATCCAGTTATGTGCAATCTTTAATAGGCGAATTTGACGACTCAATTTAGATTGTGTTGTGAGGCAGTGTTGCTGTTTTTCTCCCAGAGGTGAGATGAATGCTTGACTGTGTTCTGAACCCTGCTGTCTGCCCATGGGGTTTCCTGCTCTCCCAGCCTCTGCCACCAGACCTGAAGTAATGGAGCAGTGAAATATTGATGCACTGTAAGTTGTCTGTTGCTACTATGACAAGCTGAGAAGGCAAGGTCCTGGGTTGCTCATGGTTAGCATTATAATTGTGGTGGTATACTAAGAAACAGCTTGATGCTTTTATGCCGACAAAAAGTTGCTCTTCTAATTGCAGCCTCATTATTTAATGGAACAGCCTGAGCAGCTGCATCTGTTTTGAACACATCGATGATTTGCTCACATCACCAGCTTGGGCAAGGCTGCTTTGACTGAAGTTGTTAAATCTCTGTGTGAAAACGATGTTTAACATTAGTTTATATTCCTTTTTATTTTTTTGCTCGGTGGTGACAATGAATGTTTTGGACGCCATCCACTAAAACCTCCATGATGCTTTGATCTTATACCCTCCCGGTTTAGTGTAATGTGCGAATCAGACAAGATCTTACTGGTGACACACTGATAACATCTATAGAGAGACCTGAAAAAACACAGGGTCTGTTTGTGAGTTGTATGTGGGGTTGGCTTTCTTTTCTAAAAAGATGAAAGTCTTGGCTGTGTTTCATCTCATTCTCATTCTCCCTGGTTGAGCAAAGTCCTGAATTTTTTTTTTAGATCTGACACAAACTCTGAATAAGAAAGGTATTGTGTTTGCGTCTTGTGGGACGTGCAGTAAACATAAAGTTACAACTTCAACGTGATGCATCTCTCTGACACTGGCTGACATCTTTGTTCATGTAAAGCTTAGTTCACATAAATAAGTTCCTGTTTTCCTTCAAATTATGTAGAAAATTCTCATTGTAAACGGATTGCTCACCCAAATTGCTAAATAAATATGTTTGCATTTAGCTTTAGTGGTATGTCAAA